ACTTGCCGAATCAGAATCCGCATTGCAACAAGATCCCCAGGTCGCCCAGTCACCCTCCTGCCCAGCCAGTGTGGCACAGTGTTTGAGCAATGACCAAGAGGTCGCTGGTTCCATTCCCAATGAGGGCACATGCCCAGGTTGTGGGCCCAATCCCCAGTGAGGGGCATGCAGAAGATGGCCAGTCGATGTTTCTATCTTTCCCTCTCCCTTTCTCTCTCTCTAAAATAAATAATAAAGAAAACATATTTAAAAAAACAAAAAGATCCAAGGTTATTCATCTGCATACTGAAGTTTGAGAAGGATGGATCTCATTAACATATTGTTCTGCTTCACTCCTGCTCATTGCCTTGGCCTGAGTCACAGCCTCCACAAGTTTCTCAAGCTGGAGCAGTGGCTTTCAGAAGTTATTGACTGTGACCTACAGAAAGAAATAGATTTCATTTTCAATATAGAGTTTACATGTGTATACACAACGAAACAAAAATGTCACAAAACAATACCTGCGATGCACACTCATTCATTCATTTTTTTTTTTTTTTATCCTCACCTGAGGACAGTTTTCCATTTTTTGTTCAGATAGAGTGGGAGGGAGAGAGAGAGAGAGAGAAAAAAAAAAAAAGCGACGTGAAAGGGACACATTGAGTGGCTGCCACCCGCACCACCCAACCAGGGCCGGGGACAAACTGCAACCGAGGGACGTGCCCTTAGCGGGAAGGGAACCTGGGTCTCTCTGGATCGCAGGCCTACGCTCTAACCGCTGAGCCAAACGGGCCAGGGTGCACGCTCATTCATTCAATAGATATTGTTGGCATCTACTGCGTGCTAGGCATTGTTCTAGGTGCCTGTGCCAGTCTGTTCTCAGACAAAAAAATCCCTGTCATTGTGGAGTTTACATTCTGTGTATGTAGTGGTGGGTGGAAGGGTTGTTAGAAAGTTAAAAATCATGAATATAAAGATGCAGGGGGGTTCAGAAACATGTGGCTCAGTTCTATGCAGATTATTTTGAGCTAAAGGCAATTTTAGCTGCAGAGTCAAGAGAAACTTCAGCAGGGCAAACTTCTATTTACTAAACAGTTGTTCTTCTTCTTGTCTTGCAATGACCCTCTGAAGCCCCCAAGGCAGCTTACCTCCCCCTCAGCTCAGGATGTCTTATACCCATGTTTCTTTCCTGTCTCTGAACCTCTTGTGCATGTGGGGTCTCTGACTCTCTCATGTATGCAGGGTTTCCATACATATGTATGTATTAAATTTGGTTGTTTTCTCTTGCTAATCTGTCCCATGTCTATTTGATTATTAGACCAGCCAGAAGAACCTTGAGGGTAAAGTTTGTTTCTCCCCCACGAAGGGCATGCCAGAAAATTAACATAATAAAATTTCTTTAAAAAATTGCATCGAGCCCTGGCCAGTTTGGCTCAGCGGTTAGAGCGTCGGTCTGCGGTCCCAAAAGACCCGGGTTCAGTTCCCGCTAAGGGCATGTACTTGGGTTGCAGTTTGTCCCCGGCTCTGCTTGGGTCGTGCGGGTAGCAGCCACTCGATGTGTTCCTTTCACATCGATGTTTCTCTCTCTCTCTCCCTCCCACTCTATCTGAATAAAAAATGGAAAAATGTCCTCGGATGACGATAAAAAAAAAATTGCATCGAGTGGGACTTTCAGATGCTGGTTCTGTTTCTTGATTTGGGTGCTGGGCATATTCACTTGTTAAATTTACATGTTTTTGTACTTCTCTGTTCTATTAGTGTCCTCTTTCATGAATAAATAAGCCAGTCAAAACCCACTAAATTCAGTTAACCTCCTACTAATACATTGCAACATAGTTTTAAAAACATGGTTCTATTTTAGAAAACAAAACAGAACAAAAATACTTCAGCCCAAGTATTCAGCAGCCTCCACCACTGTTGGCTGAGCACCTGCTTGCAGGTATGAGTCACGCTGCCGTCACCACCCCTAAGTTGCCTTCCTTGCCTTCCCCGAAGTGCAATCATGTCACAGAAGAGAATCTTAGGGGCACCATCACAAGCCTCCGCTTAGAACTAGACCTGACAAGCCCTTCTCCCTGCAGAGTCACTCTGCTGTGGGCAACTCTCCTTAATTTCCAAATCTGGGAGGAGATTGGCACAGGCATGTTAGAGGGTTGGAGTTATCCCTACAGCCACCGCCTGAATCTTGATCCTTGTGCTTCTAGACTGTTTCATTTCCTCTGCTATGCTGTCAGCTTCCCGGAGGGCAGAGCAGTTTCTCTAGGTGTCTCTCTGGCTACTAGTACTGGTGTCCCAGAACAGCCTCAGAGACATCTCCCAACAAAGCTCCAGTGCTCAACATGGTGGTTGGTGGGGACAGTCCAGGAGCTGGGACTAGGCAGGATGGGGGGAGGAAGCAGGAGGCCTCTTTTCTGTGAGTCTAAAGCTCCAGAAAACCTTACACTAAAGATGTAAGAGGCACAGATGTTGAGGGCAACTGGAGGAGAGGTGGGAGAATGAGGAGCTGGGTTCCTCTAATGAATCACCTAACAGGCCAGACCAGGATGCAGGTGCTTTGATCCCTTGCTTTGTTTGATTTACCCACAGAGAAGCTTGCTTCAAATCAGTTGTTTGCATCTATTGACCCCTAAAACTCTAGTCAGAACTAATGCTTCCCAAAGTGAAGCTCCTGGGTTTGGCATTGCTTTGGTGTACCTTGGTGGTTCAGGGCAGACTCTGGAGTCAGAAAACTGAATTTGAATCGTGGCTTCACTACTACCAGCTGTATGACCCTGAGCAAGTTATTTAACCATGTAGAGCCTCAGTTCTATCATCCGTAAAATGGCGATGATAATGTGTACCTCACTGGGTTGTGGTGGAGGTTGGATGTGAATAAATGCCAAGAGCAGGGCCTTGACCATAGGAAGGCTCCAAAAACCTTAGCAATTGTCATTACTGAGGGGGGTTGGGGAAAGGACAACCCCTCAGATTCCCTTCCCCTGAGGCCAGGCAGCTAGGGGGAATACCTTAGCCTGGCTCTCCATAGGTGGGGTCAGGAGTCCTGACTGCCCTATACCCTCTCTTGGCCCAGGAAGGGTACATTCACCTCCTGCTCAACAGCCCTGGCTCCATGGGGAAGGGCAACTGTTATACACACTGCTATGAAAAGATTTAATAAAAAGTTGCATGGCCCACCTCCCAGGCTAAGAGGCAATGACCCAAATCCACCCAAACCAGCCTTCCCTGCCACCCACTCCCCCCAGCCCATAGATGTCTGGAACCCATCCCCTTCTTATCGCCCTACTGTCATTTGGCCAGGGCCCTTGGGCACAATAACAGACAGTGGAAGTGCAGAAAGATCCATCCTTACACAGTTCTCCGATGTCTGATTTGGGGGACAATTTTGCCTGGAATTGTTTGTGGGTGTTTTGAGTTGTTTTATTATTATACCCATTAAAATTTTTTTTGTTTTTCTTTATTGATTTTTTTTAGAGAGAGGAAGGCAGAGGGAGAGAAATAGAAACACTGATGAGAGAGAACATCAATCGGCAGCCTCCTTACATGCCCCCCACTGGGAATTTGGCCCACAACGTGGGCATGTGCCCTGACCGGGAATCAAACCGGCGACCTCTTGGCATATGGGTCAATGTTCAACCACTGAGCCACACCAGCCAGGCTATTACACCCATTTTATAGATGAGATATAGTCAGTAGAAGGACCAATTCGCCCTAAGCCTCTGGATTCTAAACTCCACCGCTCAAGGCTAGGAACTGGATCTGTAGGCTGCACTATCACTGGGAGGAAGAGCTCTAGATTTTCTCCTCCTTTGGGGGTGCAGGGAGAAGAGGGCCCAAGAGGTAGCAGAGTAGGAGGGAAGAAGACCACCCCCCCTTTTTTGCCTGGGGCTCTTTCTGCTTGTGTTCCCAGCAGGAAGTGTCACAGGTCTAAGAGAACTCTCCCTTGTTGAAATACCCTTCAAGTACCCTCTGCCTTTTGTGGGGAAAGGGTGGGGTTGGGCCCAGCCAGGTTCCTAGGCCTCTGGACTTCGTTTAATAGATTAGGACTAGGACCCCTCGCTGCAGTAAAACATTCAGTAGATTGTGACCTTATATACTTTCCAAGCCATCCTCCTTATTTTAGAAACGAAGCAACTGAGGGCAGATGGAAGTGACTTTTTATATTGTCACATAGTAAGTCAGCACCACTGGACTGCTACTTCGAATTCATGACTCCTGTTTCAGTGCTCCTCCATTGGGTGTGGTTGACTACGTCTTCTCAGTGTAACTCTCCTTCCTTTTTTGGGATCACAGGAAGGGACAAGCAGAGCATGAAGGAGAAGGGAGAGGTGAAAAGAACAGAGGGGAGAATAAAGGAACCTAAGAGGGCAGGGGGAGGAGTAAGCGAGACCTGGACCTTTAAGAGGGCGGGCAGGGCCCCGCCCCACCGCCCCGCCTTCGGCGGCGCAGGCGCAGGCGGGCTCCAGGAACTGGCGGGAGGGCGGGCGCAACTGGCTCGCGGGCCGGCGCGCGGGGCCGCAGCACCTGCGGGGGCCGGCGCAGGGCGCGGCGTCCATTGGGCGGACGTCGACGCCCGAGGGGAGGGCGAGGAGGCGTGCCGGGGACGTGGGGTCGACCGCGGAGTCGGAGGGACGGCTCCGCAGCCCCCTCCCCGGGGGGACGGGGCGGAAGGAGCCAGGTTGGGGGCGGTGTGAGCGAGAGCGGACACCACCATCTGGAGAGGCGGGAGCGCGCGGCCTCTGGGGGGCAAGCGAGTGCGCTGGGCCGTGCGGGAGGGGGACCCCCAGCAGGGCGCGGAGGAGGAGCGGGGCGGGCTCAGACCCGCGCTGCCGGAGCAGCAGCCGCAGCGGGTCGGAGTTCTCAGCTGGGGCCCGCAGCAGCTCCGCGGGCTGAAGCTCGGCGTGGAGGAGCAGGGGGGCGTGGGTCCGGTAGTGCAGGAGGAGGGCGGGGTGGGCCCGGGGGTGCAGGAGCGGGGCGGCCGCGGCCACGAGCCCAGCCTGGGGGTGGTGTGGGGGACGCCGGACGGCGCGGACTGGAGGCGCCCGCCGCTGTGGACGGGCTCGGTGAGCTGGCCTGTGGTGCAGGAGGAGGGCTTAGGAGCCCGCAAGCAACACCAGGAGAAGGGGGGAGGCAGCCCCGCAGTGCAGGAACGTGGGGAGGCCCTTGCCGGGGTGCAGGAGCGGGGGGAAGGTAGCCCACGCGGGCTGCGGCAGCTGTCGGAATTTGGGGACCGCTCCTGGGAGCGCGGGAAGGGACTTGAAAGTTCCGGGGAGCAGGGCGGGCAGTACTGGGAGAGCTGCGGGCACCTCAGACAGGGGACGGTGGTTCTAGGAGAGGCCCGGACTCGCAGAGAGAGACTCGAGCTGGTGGGGAGGGCACGGCCTGTGGGGCCCCAGGGACCTGAGGGGGAGGGGCGCCTGGGGGTGCAGGAAGCAAATTGGCTGCCCGGGGTGCAGGAGGGACAGGTGGTGCGGGCCGTCCAGGAAACATACCTGGACGGGAAGGGGTCTCTGGAAGGAGAGGGGCCCCCTGAGGGGCACAGTATCCGGAGGCGCAGGCGCCGGAGGCGGTGGTAAGCCACAAGCTGGCTGCCCAGCACCAGGATCGCTCCAGGGCTAAAGTGAGCACAAGATGTAGGGGTTTGGGGAGTGGGGAGCAGAAGAGCCCTGTGAACCTGGGAGTGTTGGAAGCTACGGCCTGAGAGAAGGCTGTGTCCTGCTGGATCCTCTTCTGCCACCGCAGCCTGGACATCAAAGCTGTATCTGCAGAGTCCGCAGAAGGTAAGGAAGCCCATTGATGCTCTCAGCTGGAATCGGTGCAGTTATCTCAGGTGAGGGTACTCTCCAAACTGACCTGTTCGCTCCACTGTGTTTAAACCTGGGGAGGAAGGAAGCAAGGGTTTTCAACAGCAAGGCAAGGCAAGACTCCTCCCCCCAGTACTGTATATGCCAACTAGAGTGATGGGGCATTTCCTTCGAGTCTAGACTGGAGGTGAGACTGGGTGGCTGCCAGGCCTGGGCAGAAAGAAGAGAGGGGTAGCCCCAGGCTGAGGTTGCAGAAGAGGCAGTCACTCCTCCACCTGACCTGTGGAGATAGGGGTGCCTCCATGCCATAGGTGTGATGGTGCAATCAGCATAGGTTGTTGCCGCAAGTCCTTACCACACATTCCAAAAAAGGGAGCACGGTGTTAACAGGACCTTATCTTGTGTGGCAGCCAATGACTTGGGCACGAGCCTGACCTGCTCCCGCCACACCTTCTTGTCACAGCTGATTAATATTGAGGGCCCAGAGCCAAGGATGAATAGTGGGCAGAAGGGTGGAGAGCTACTGTGTAGGCTTTCTATTTCAGTGTGGGCTCTCAGGACCCCAGCCTGAAAGGGGTGGGAGAAGACAGGATATCTACATCATTGGACTCTGGGCATCCTTTGTGGCCCAGACCTCAGCCCTGCCCTGTGGAGGTGGATAGACGGGCAGCTGAGGCATCATGGATTCTGTACCAGCGGACCCAGCTCCTAGGCCAGCCTAGAGGTGGAGTTGGCAGGGGTCAAGGCTGGATTTGACTTCCTGTTGATTGCTTCATGGCCTGGGTTGCCAGCCCTACTCATTCCTGGCCCAGAGGGGCTTGTTTAGCCACTTTATGGGCTTCATCCTCCTGAGGCTGCTCACTTACCTGGTACTGTCCGGGTTTTTGCTTCTGTAGCTCTAGGGGACTGGGGGATGGGGTGCAGAATTGCTGCCTGCCTCAAGGCCTTAGCTGGGTCCCTTCTCTGCCCCATTCCATGAGTCTCATGGCCCCGGGCCCCTGTCTGAAGCAGACAGGGTGGAAATTGTTGGGATTGGGGGAGGGGGGTGAATTTCTAGGTAGGCAGCCCCTGGGACTGCTGGAGGAGCCGGTTAGCCTGCTCCTCAATCTAACCAAAACCTGTCTGTCAGCTTCATCCGCGCCTACCTGTCTCACTGCCATCCCAAATATTCATGCACCTGAAGTTCAGGTGCTGTGTTCAGGGTGCCTGGCTCTTCTGGGATGGCCAGACCGGTTCTCTCTCTCTGGCTTCAATGCATAAAGTTGTCTGTTCTAAACCCATACACAAGGCACACATCTTCACTCTATTTCAAATTGACTTTTTTGAATTTGTGGTAGATGAAGATGAGAGGAACTTTGTCAGATCTGAGTTTAGATTACTTATGATCTGCTTAACCACCTGGGGCAAGATAATGCCTCTGGGCTTCAGTTTCCTCTTCTGGGCCATGCCTTTCCCCACAGTGTCCTGAGTGCAGAGCGCTCAGATCCTTCTTTGCCAGTCTGGTGCCCACCTCCCAGGGAGCCCTGGCTGGCAGATTTTGCGGAGGAGGGGCCATTGCTTCCAGATCTTTTACTCTGGCCCCTAAGCCCTCAGTTATCCCCCTGCCCTATGCTTTTCTGGAACATGAAGTGCTTTTTGTTTGTTTATTTATTTTTAATATTCACCTAAGGATATTTTTCCATTGATTTTTAAATAGAGTGGGAGGGAGGAAGGGAGAGGGAGAAAGAGAGAAAGATCAGTATGAGAGAGATACATCAACTGGTTGCCTCCCTCATGACCCTGACGGGCTGGGTGTTAAACCTGCAATCAAGGTGCATGCCCTTGACTGAGAATTGAGACTCTTCAGTCCTGGGGCCGATGCTCTAACCATTGAGCAAAACCGGCCGGGGCTTTTTTGTTTGTTTTTAATAATAGTTTTATTGAGGTATAATGACATATGATAAATGGAACATATTTAAAACATAATTTAATGTCAAAATATATGTATATACCCGTGAAACCACCACCACAATCAGGATACTGAACATACTCATTATTCCCAAACTCCCAAATGTTTTTTTGGGCCCCTTTGTAATCTTTCCATCCCACCCCTCTTTTTGCTATCCCTTTCCCCAGGTAATGGACTGGTTAGCTTTCTGTCACTATACATTAGTTGACATTACCTTATTTTTTCACTCACCATGATTATTTTGAGATTTATCTATGTTGTTGTGAATAACAGTTTGCATTCCTTTTTATTGCTGAGTAGTATTCCATTGTATGTATATACCACAGTCTGTTTATTCATTCACTTATCAATAGTTTGTTTTCAGTTTTTGGTTATTACAGTAAACCTCAGTTTATCAGACCTTGATTTAACGGACTTAAGATTTCACAGACAGCATTTCTGGTCCGTATGTCATATGTGAAGATTAACACCCTGTTAATTTTAAAATGCTTTTAACTAAGATTTGCTTATAATTAAATTAACGGGTTTTTTTTGTTATTAATATTCACTGTTATTTGTAACACATTTTAGCGAATAGGACATATGTTGGAAAAAACACTAGTAATTTTGCAGACATAAATAAATATTAAATATCTACAACTATAGTCTGCATATTTAAATCCCAAAAGTCGCCCTGGCCGGTTTGGCTCAGCGGTTAGAGCGTTGGCCTGCGGTCCTGAGAGACCCAGGTTCGGTTCCCGCTGAGGGCATGTACCGCGGTTGCAGTTTGTCCCCGGCCCTGGTTGGTTGTGCGGGTGGCAGCCACTCGATGTGTTCCTTTCACATCGATGTTTCTCTCTCTCTCTCTCTCTGTTCCTCTCTCTCCCTCCCACTCTACCTGAACAAAAAATGGAAAAATGTCCTCGGGTGAGGATAAAAAATAAATAAATAAATAAATCCCAAAAGTCACTGCTCATAAACAGTGTTCGGCGAATGATTAGTACATGATCACACATTGCGAGCTGTAATTGGTTGTGTTGTCTCATGGTGTGACTTTCTGCAGCAGTTTTAACTAGTGCCCACCACCCAAAATTCAGATGTTCTCTGAGCCATGCCCCGGCCATGTGCATTTGTTTACTTGTGGTGACTGGTGAGTGCATGCATTTACTAGACCTATTCAATATAAACTTAAAATTATAATAATACAGAAAACTTTTCTGTGAAATTAGACTTTTCATATATACTTAATTTTAATTACACAAATGTGTCTACATAAGCAAAAACAGCTAAATTAATTTGTCAATTTTTTAATATCTACATTTGGAAAACCTTTGTTTCGGCTTTAACAGACAACCCCTTGCCCGAATTAGTCCGTTATATCGAGGTTTTACTATAGACATAAAACTACGAACATTTGTTGAAGTCTTTGTATGGACAAATGCTTTTTATTACTCATGGGTAAATCCTTAGGATTAGAATGGTTGGATCATATTGTAGGTGTACATTTAACTTTTAAGGAACTGCCAGACTGTTTCCAAAATGTTTGTACCATTTTATATGCCCACCAGCTGTGTATGAAAGTTCTAGTTTGTCCACTTCTTTTTTTTTTTTTTTTTTTTTATCCTCACCTGAGGACATTTTTCCAATTTTTGTACAGATAGAGTGGGAGGGAGAGAGAGAGAGAAACATCGACGTGAAAGGGACACATCGAGTGGCTGCCACCCGCACGACCAACCAGGGCCGGGGACAAACTGCAACCGAAGTACGTGCCCTTAGCGGGAACTGAACCCGGGTCTCTCCGGACCGCAGGCCAACGCTCTAACCGCTGAGCCAAACCGACCAGGGCTAGTTTGTCCACTTCTTTGTCAACACTTCGTCTCTTTAATTTGAAACATTCTAATAGGTCTGTAGTGGTATCTCATTGTGGCTTTAATTTGCATTTTCCTAATGACTAATGTCGTTGAACATCTATCTTTTCATGTACTTATTCATCATCTGTATATCTTTGATATGTCTTTTCAAATTGTTTGCTCATTTTTTAATTAGATGGGTTTTTTTTTTTTTTTTTTTTTTGGTCCATATTAAGTTTTGAGAGTTCTTTATATATTCTGGATACAAGCTTTTATTGGATACGTGATTTTGCAAATATTTTCTTCCAATCTCTGGCTTCCATTTTAATTCTTAACAGTGTCTTTTGAAAATCAGAAGTTTTAAATGTTAATGAATTCTAATTTAGGAACTTGTTTATTTTTTATGCATTGTGCTTTTAGTGTTGTGTCGAAGAAATATTTGCCTAACCCCCAAAGCACTGTGGTTTTCTCCAATGTTTTCTTGTACAAGTTTTATAGTTATGGGTTTTACATTTAGGTGTCCGATCCATTTAGGGTTAATTCTTGTATGTGGTGCAAGGTGTGAACTGAAGTTTGTTCGTTTTTTTAATGTTTTGTTGATTTTTTTTTTAGAGAGGAATGGAGAGAGAGAAACATCGATGTGAGAGAGATGCATCGATCGGGCTGCCTCCTGCACATACCCCATTGGGGTTCAAGCCCTAAGCCCTGACTCGGAATTAAACTGGAACCCCTCAGTCCTTGGGATGACACTTAGTCCACTGAGCCACACTGGCCAGGCTGAAGTTCAGTTTTTTATATGTGGAGATTATCATTTGTTCCAGCACCATTTATTGAAAAGACTTGTCTCTCTATGTAATTGCCTTTGCACCTTTGTCAAAAATCAGTTGTCTGTACATGTGTAGATCTAATTCTGGACTATGTTTTGTTCCAGTGATCTGTTTGTCTGTCTTTATACCATTATCTTGATCACTATAGATTTGTAGTAAGTCTTGAAATCAGGGTAAGATTGAACTTTGTTCTTTCTTTTCAAAATTGCTTTAGTTATTCTAGGTTCCTTGCATTTCCATATGTATTTTAGAATCAATTTGTTAATTTCTACAAAAAACAAAAACAAAACCTGCTGGGATTTTTATTGGGGTTGCATTGAATCTATAGATCAATTTGGGGAGAATTGACATTTTAGTAGCATTGAGCCTTCT